AAAGGCCGGCGCGCGGTGAGGGGGGCCACCGTGGAGGCGAAAGTACTTTGCACATGCTCCACGGTCGCCGCGCTCTCCGTCCCAGCCTTCGAAGAAGCCGCCGGAGCGTCCCAAGCCAGAAAATGCCCCAACTCAGGCAGACGGAGTTCCAGTTGCAACCTGCGCACGTGATTCGATGAGGAACCAAGGGGAGCCGGGTCTCTGAGCGCGGCTTATAACCCGGTGCGCTTTATATGTGGAAAAAGTTTAAAAAATTAACGTTAATTGATACTGCGGCTTTTAATCCGGTGCGGCTTTTGGTCGTGAAAATACGGTATATAAATTTATTGTGCAGCTTTTCTTGGAAAGTATATATAAAGATCAGTTCACTAACCTCAAAAATAATATTACAGAACTGGAAATAATGCCAAAAAGAATGATCAAAATAACTTAGGAGCAGGAACAATTAAGGTCACAGGCTGTAAGAATGTAGCATTATTCACTAAAAATAATATCTAATTAAATTAAAGTTTGATTACGGACAAAAAAATCTACAACTGCTCACTGATGTTTTCATGGTGACACAATATACAATTATTCTTACATGGAAAGATGCTTTTAAGAATTGTGCAAAATGGACTATTTGAAATACCAACTTTTCTTACTATTAACATTGCCATACAATAATGCAATAATATTACACTAATATAAGCCTCCCAGAATTACCCAGTGGTAAGATGGGTGGGCAGTAAATTGCATAAATAAATAAGTATAGTGATCTGTTGTATTTGTGGATTTTATGTCATCAGAAAACTGGAAAACTTTAAACATACATTTAATGGAAAACTTTAAAGTTGAACAGAATAAAGTTCTAACAGAGGTTTATGTCACCAAAAGCAGTTTAGATTTCTCATAATTTGGAATGTTTTCTCTTCCTAATTTGAGAATCTTTTCTTCAATTGCTGCTATTAATCTTCTTGAGTTTTGTGAATTTCCAGTATAGGTATTGCATAAAATAAATTATGAAATAGCGACATAATTACATAAAGTTCATGAATATCTAATACATTGCTTCATAATATTATGTAGTTGATGCTAAAAATAGTACAAACCGACATTTAGATAAGTAATAATGAATAGAATAAAGCTAATAAGCTAAGCAATAACATAAATAAAACAGAAGATCTAGGAATAAGAAGCTTATGGGATCATGGATATAATACTTGATTTGTACTGGATATGAAATTTGATATGTCCCCATGGTCCAGAGTTTTCGAGAAGTTGTAAATGCCTGGCATTTGTGACTTGATATGTTAACTTATTCTTCTCTCCAAAGGGATATCTATATGTGAAATATTTGTTAATAGTACAGAGATATTTTGGTTTTTTACTCTATGCATTGTTTTAATTTGATTGCTGTATCAGGTATGTATACGGTCACAGTCTATTATGGCTAAAGCAACCTAAGAACTCCCAAAATAAATACATATAAAAGTAAATAAATCTATCTGAAAGGTAGTTGTACTTCTAAATCCACTTTTGCTTATTGATATATATGTAATGTGAATTTTTTTGGTCTCCTTTGCTGTGTTATTGCCACAATTTCAACAGTTATCCATATGTTGTAATACTGATTGGATACACAAATTGTGTTAAATCAGAATGTAGCTTATTGGGATTTGTCCAAGTGCATTGTGTGAATCTAGATACAATCATTTATAAAATCTGGTTTGTAGAACTAATGTAAGAATCTAGTACCTATAGCTTTTTCAATAATTCACGTTAAAAGAAACAAGTTAATACACAATGTGGACCCATTATACTAATTCCTGTGTTATTTAGAAGGCTGCTATTGAATATTTATACAAATGTCAGTACAGGTGGTCTTGGCTTAATGACCCCTTTTTCATTTGTATTCAAACTTTCAACAGCCCTGAATGAGTGATACCTACAACCATTTCTACTCTTCACTGTGTCCTGAGATTACGTGATCACCATTTGCAACCTTCTTTGCTGACTCCCTACAAGCAAAGTCAGTGAGATAGCTTGCAAGAGGTCACAAATGACTATATCTATTAGCAATGGAAATTCCAGCCCCAATTCCCATCATTCCATCCTTCCGAGGTCGGTAAACTGAGGACCCAGATTGTTGGGGGCAATATGCTGACTCTGTAAACCGCTGAGAGGGGGCTGAAAAGCACTGGGAAGCAGTATATAAGTCTGAGTGCTATTGCTATTAACCAAGGGCTATGTTAGAAAGCAGAGAATAGGTTCCTTCAGACATACGTGTGTAGGTCTAAACTAATATTATTTAAATTTTTATTCTATCTTTTTACCTTAGAACCAAAACTCAAGAAAAATAACAAAACAACTATGTTTAACTGCATTTAATTAAAGTAATAATACAAATTGAACTTTTACTCATTAAAAGTTCAAGAAACATTACAAAAATGATAGCTATATGTAATTGCATTTAATCAAAGTAACAACACAAAATAATACCATATAGTAAAACATTAAAATTGTTCCAAAAAGTAAATAAAAAGATGTATCTTGATATTCTTCTTGAGTGTAGACTAA